GACCGATGCTCTACCACTGAGCCAAACCGGCTTTGGCTGACTAGCATGTTTATATGCCAGACTAAGCAGAAGCTACTAACCTGAAAGCCATGGGAATAAAGCATGATGGAACATGATGGGTGAGGCCGACCATCTTACTCCTTTACAGCAGTATATATAGGGTTCAATACCATGCCTGGTTTGGTCTCAGGCAGCCGCTGATAAGGGGAACTACTATAATTTGTTATGCAACAACATTAGATAACTAATACCTACAGCAATTGGCAGTACTTATTACCATTTAAATAGCATGCAAAACAGCTCTAAAAGCAACAATTCCACTCTGGATATCTATTTTATTATTATTGTAATTCAAAAAGAGCTGTAAGCACTTGGGTATCTATATTGAAGAAAAAAAAAACACAGATGGAATCAAGCCAGCATAACAGAGGATATGTATTGTAATGTTAACATTAAAAAAAAACAACACATAGAACCTGTAAAGAACTTTTGTGAGTTTATTTGAGCCAAACTGTCAACATGTGCAGGGAAGCAGAACCTCCAGGAATTGAGGTAATGCTCCAGAGAATGGCGGGTTACATTTGTATTTAAACATTGCAATCAAAGGAAAGGGACGTGAGTGCGTTACATGAAATCCATTGGTGACAGACTAGAGAAGTGGGAGAAAGCAAAGTAGAGGAACTGCTGGGATTGGACAAGAAGTAAAAGGATAGACACTTCATGAACAATGAACATGATAAGGAAGGAATTTGTGGTATCTGTCCTCCCCTGGCACCCAGCACATTAAGTTGTGCCCTGGGGTCCAGCAAAAGGGAAGTTACAAGTTACCCAGACATTTCAAAGGATATGTTCTTATAGATGCAAAAAGACAGATAGCCTCAGTTACAGTAAAGGTTGACCTTGTCCGTGAGGACACCAGCCTAGGATATAACTACCCACTATAACTGCTTTTAGTGAAAGTTTCATTTCAGACCAGCCTTTGCGGTGACTTTAGATCTCTGAGTTTGCAGGACTGCCATGCAGGCCTCCCCTGAGTTTGTCAGGTCAGCATGTGGCCCATTTCATCCACAACAGCATATTTTCAACTCTGAAAAAGTGAATGTCCACAAATAAACTATAGTGCATTGCTTCTGTGGAAGGACCTGCAGTGCGTGATCTAGGAGCTGTGATGTAGCAATAACTCTTTTAAAAAAAATATATTTTATTGATTTTTCCACAGAGAGGAAGGAAGAGGGATAGAGAGCTAGAAACATCGATGAGAGAGAAACATTGACCAGCTCCTTCCTGCACACCCCCTGCCAGGGATATGCCCGCAACCAACATACATGCCCCCGACTGGAATCGAACCTGGGACCTTTCTGTCTGCAGACCGACGCTCTATCCACTGAGCCAAACCAGTATCGGTAGCAATAACTCTTAAAAAAAAAAGATTTTTTACTGATTTCAGAGAGAGAAAGAGGGATAGAAGCATCAATGATGAGAGAGAAATATTGATCTGCTGTCTCCTGCATGCCCTCCTGCGAATCGAGCCCACAACCCAGGCATATGTCCTGACCGGAAATCAAACCATGACCTACCAGTTCATGGGTGGCCACTCAACCACTGAGCCACACTGGCCAAAATAACTCTTATTAAGTGACAAGACAATGTTGTTTAGTAGTTAGAGGGTCAGTCCGTGCACCAAAGGGTCGTGGGTTTGATTCCTGGTCAAGGACACATACCTGGATTGCAGGTTTGATCCTCAGCCCTGGTTCAGCATGTGCAGATATGTCTCTCACATCAATGTTTCTCTCTCTCTCTCTCTCCTCTCTCTTTCTCCTTCCCTCCTCCTTCCTCCCCCTCCCTCCTTTCCACTCACTCTGAAAATTAATGGGAAAAAATAGCTTGGGAGAGGGTTAACAACACAAGATAAAAAAGTGACAAGATACATAGTATTTATGTAAGAAACAACCAGAGCTTTTAGGATTGAAATCATCCCCAGCTCACTGTCTCCATCAAGATGACTTCTTATGATGCCATGCTGTTCCAACAGGACTTTATTGGGGAGGATAAAGTTGCAAATAACTGTATTGTTTCTTTTAAGAACTTTCTGGAGAGAATCTATTTATCTGAACAATAGGCTATTCAACTAATCATATCAGAGGGAATAAGTCTCCTCTCAGAGCAAAAGAGGTCAACTGAACACGTTCAGGGTCTGTTTACTCTTCAGAGACTTCCAATCCCTCAGCTAGAAGTGTCCTTCAGCCGAAACCGGTTTGGCTCAGTGGATAGAGCGTCAGCCTGTGGACTGAAAGGTCCCAGGTTCAATTCTGGTCAAGGGCATGTACCTTGGTTGTGGGCACATTCCCCAGTAGGGGGTGTGCAAGAGGTAGCTGATCAATGATTCTCTCTCATTGATGTTTCTAATTCTCTATCTCTCTCCTTTCCACTCTGTAAAAAAATCAATAAAACATATTTTTAAAAAAAGAAGTGCTCTTCGTTCCTGAAAGCTCTGCCCTGTAATAATCAGGTTCCCATATTGAAAGACCCACCTCAAAAGCCTTATCAATACAGGGTGAGGCAAAAGTAGGTTTACAGTTGTTCATGTGAAAAATAATATGTATATGTGTTATAAAGCTAATATGCAAAGTGTCCCCTTGGGAATTCAACCCAGAGATTGGGTGTTTGTGTCCCAATAATTCCATAAGGGACGTGTGCACAGGTGACCTAGAGTGCCTCAGCCAGAAATCTGACACCTATCACCCTAAGTACTTAATTAATAATCCACCGAGCATAAATTACACAGGAGACAAATGTTCAATGCACTAATCACTCACGGTTTATTTACCAGAATCCTGGTAGATTCCAGAATCCTAGGCAGGCCACCCCGGGGATCCGCACTGATAAGACACACACACACACACACACACACACACACACACACACACGGTTCACAGAGGACTTTGCAGCTGCAGCTCGGCTTGAGTTGAGGCCTCTCACAACGGCTCACGGTCCTCGGCTCAGGGTTCAGGGCTCGTTGACAAGTGCAGGCAGGCGAAGTGGAGAGCGACCCTTTGTGGAGGAGCAGAAGGAATGTCTCTGATCTTCTGTGGAGCTTTTTCTTTTTATGTGTCTTCAGTGGTCAGATGTCTTGTGTGTCTTATCAGCAGGTCCCAGGAGCCTTGCTATCCGGTCAGATCACTTTATCTATTTCCTACATACAGGTCACTCAAGGGTGCTTATCAGTTTGTTTACATTCCATTCCATACTTTTAAATATCATACTTCAATTCCACACTTTAATACTTATTCAATGTTATATTTATCCTTATTACTATTACTGTAACAGTTTGCTCGCTATGACATGCGCTGACCACCAAGGGGTGACACAGAACAAAGGAAGGCCCCAGCTGGCAGCCAGCAGTGAGGGGGTGGGGGTGCAGCAGAGGAGGCGGGAAGGAAGGCCCAGCCAGAAGACCCTGATCGGCCCTGATCACTAGCCAGGCCTAAGGGACCCTACCCATTTATGAATTTCGTGCACCAGATGTCCAGTAAATAAATTATAATACAAGAGCTGAAACTCTAAAGTCTCTTAATCTTTGGGTTCTCCTCTGTGTTGCATTTCTCTTCGGTTGAAGAAACTGGGCACTTTGTTCTGTAGCCTCACCTGGGCTAAATTTGTTTATCATATGACTACAGGCCCAGTGCAAAAATTCCTGCATGAATGGGGTCTGACCAGCCCACATTGATTGGGGTGGGGGGACTGATCAGGGGTGGGGCTGGCTGGGAGGAGGGGCTACAGGTTGTTGGCGGGCCGGCCCCACCCCCTGGTTGAACTCCGGCCCAGGGGACAATTTGCATATTACCCTTTTTTTATAATACTAAAGTCCCAGCACACAAATGTATGTATGTATGTATGTATGTATGTATGTATGTATGTATGTATTTATTTATTTATTTCAGTGCACGAATTTATGCACTTGTGGGATCCCTTGGCCTGGCCTGTGGGATCAGGCCAAAACTGGCTCTCTAACCTCCCTGAGAGGTCCTGCATTGGGAGGAGGAGCAGGCCAGGTTGAGGGACCCCACTGGTGCACCGTCAGAGTTAGAGAGGGACGTGGGAGGTTGGACAGCCAGGGAGGGACCAAGGGAGGGCTCCAGGGCGTGTCTGGTCCATCTTGCTCAGTCCAAATTGACCAGACCCCAGCAGCAAGCTAACCTACTGGTTGGAGCGTTTGCCTCCTGGTGGTCAGTGCATGTCATAGCAAGTGGTTGAGCCACTTAGCATATCATTAGCATATTACACTTTGATTGGTTGAATGGCCAACCAGTCAACTGGACTCTTAGCATATTAGGCTTTTGTTATATAGGATGATGATGATGATGATGATGATGATGATAACCACTGGTGGGTATGCAAACTGCTCTCTCTGAATGACAGCATTTATAATGTTCGGTCCTTTCCTAAGTTTCTATCATTTATTCCTTTTTTTGTTGTAATTGTTGTGCCATTAATCCTCCTCCAAGGATATTTTTTCCACTGATTGTTTAGAGAGAGTGGAGATGGAGAGACAGAGAAACACATACATACCCTTGACCACAATTGAACATGGGACCATTCAGTCCGCAGGCCAATGCTCTATCCACTGAGCCAAACCAGCTAGGACCCCAAGATACAGTTTTAAAAAAATTATTCTTGGGAGAATGAGAGCAAATAAAGTTTGAAGAGGTGAACAGCTCTAGTAGCATGAGACCTGAAACCTCTTAGGCAAGAGGGTCGCTGGGACAGGTGCCAGTGGCTACAGCGACCCTGGAGGCGCCGAGGACGCCCTCATGTGGCCAGAACGCCATTTCGCACAGGCCCGCACGTGCGACTTCATTTCCCACAATTCCCGCTCCGCTTCCGGTGTGGCCGGGGCGCTGTGGACGGCTTCCGGGTTTGGGCCTGGCGCTGCGCTGGTGGCGGCGGCGGCGGCGGCGGCGGCCGAGAGGGACACGGGAGGTGGGAGCAGGGGGTCCGGTATGGACGTTTCGGGGCAGGAGACGGACTGGCGGAGCGCCGCCTTCCGGCAGAAGCTGGTCAGTCAAATGTGAGTAGGGGCCGGGGCGGCGGGCGGGGTCACCGGACCTTCCCCCCGCAGCCCCCCCACGCGCGGCGGGCAAGGCCCGGGCTGGACCCCGGGAGTCGTAGGGGCCCCGGGACCCTCGGGGGCTCGAGGGCGCTGGGAGGCCAAAAGCATCGGGGACCCGCGTGTGTCCGAGGGCGCGGTCCTCCCCCGGCGATCCTCCTCCTCTGGCGGTCCTCTCGTTCGTTCTCGGCCGACACGGACTGCTGGTTAGCTTTCCTGGGGCCGAACTATGAAAACCACCGAGCCTTGGCTTATGAGTCATCGTCCTGGGCTTTCTTATTCGTCATTTGTGTGCTTTGGGTGCAGACTTTCCCCTGCTTGGAATCACACTGAATAAGAAAAAGGAAGGGGACAGCCCACAGTGGCTTTAGCAGGTCTGGGTGCTTTGTGATTCCTCTTCCAGGAAAGCGTATCAGGATGGGAGGAGGTAGGTGGAAGGTGGTGAGGTTGGGAGGCTAGCTACTTGCGCTGTGGGCGGTGGGCTGCGGGCGCCGCGCCCCCTTCCTGTCCCTCCCTTTCCCCCGGTCTCATTCCCCTTCTGCCCCCCAGAATGGACCTTCTGGAAGGGTGACCGGAGGAAGCTGTCAGGAAGCTGATGTGGATTGGGAGGAGGGAGTGAAGGGCTGGGGTTAGTGCCTTCTCCTTAGTGTCAGTTATGGAACCCCTCAGTGCACGGCTGCCAGGGCACCCCAGGCTTCACCTTAGGGACTCCAGCTCCTCACCGCCCACAGCTTGCTCTGTTTAGCAGGCTTCTCCTGAGCTTACTGGCATGTTGTGCTAGCCACAGATTTGCCTGAGACAGCCCCTGCCTTCAGGGAACATACTGTACTGCTACCATAAAGGAACAGTTACAGTGCAGTCATTCTCCTAGAGGAAGAGTTGACAGTCTGCTTGAACAGTCCAGGGGCAGCTGAATAAACCGAGTTCTCAAAAGACAAGTAGAAGTGTGATGGGGCCATCGTTTCAAGCTAAGGAGCGCGGAAGTGTGAGCACACAGTGCATGGCGGATATTGCTGTAGGCTGAGAGTTCTGGGATTTGGGGAATTAGGAGGTTCAGGAGATGATAATGGAATGAGGGTGAGCAGGTGCTGACACGTTAATGCAGCGCGAAGGAATTGAGCCTGTATTGGCATGTGGCCTGCTTTGAAGTAGGGAAAAGCCAGAGTTGGGGAAGATCCCCCGAGTCCCAGGAGATGGATGGATCGAGAACAGAGGAGAGAGGCTAATGAGGCTATTAGGAGAGTTTTGAGCTCTTGGGGTTCGGGGACCTGCCATTTTTCATCTTTGCATTTCCATTGTTTGATCACAGCCTGTCACATTGGTCCAAAAAATGGTTGTGGAATGACCTAGTCAGGCTAGGGTTGATAAAGACTTGCATTATACACTGGTAGGAACTGAAAGAGGAAGATGATGCCAGAGAAAGGGGAGCGTGAGCATTGACAGCCATCCTTGATGACTAAGTTGGATGGAGGGGGTGGGTGCAGCCCTGTGGAAGGAAGGAAGTGGGGCGGAATGCAGGGAAACCTCTTAGTCCATTGGAAGGAGTGGGCATTGCAGAGTATTGCAGAATCAGAGGACATTGTTTTTTGATGCACTGGAGTTATCGATAGGTGAATTCTTGAGGGATGAAATCACTTCAGGGTTCTAGCCAGAAACCTACCTTCCAACCCCGGGGGAAAGATTCCTTTTTGGGGAGTCTAGAATTTAAGAACAGGAAGAATGAGTTGCAACGAAAGAAAATGGGGAAGGTGGGGGAAGGCCAGACGGCTGGGAGGGCAATTGAAGTTTCTGGGTGTCAGGGACTGACTGGATACCTCATAATTCGGCTTCTTTTTGCTTCCAGGGAAAGTAGGTTCCTTTTTCTTTTCTTTTTGTTGCCAGGTTGCTGCTTGTGTGTTTGCTTTCTATTGCTGTGGTAACAATTTACCACAAATAGCCTATATAGTAAAAGCCTAATATGCAAATCGTCCCCTCTGGTGGTGGTTGGACCAGCATTCCATCCGGAGACAACTGGGAGTTCAGCCACTTGCTAGGAAGTGTGCTGACCAGCAGGGTGACACGTTGAGACCTCTTGCCAGTTAGCTGGGGGCAGGGTGACAGGGCTGGAGGTGCGGTGAGAATGCAGGGTGTCTGTGGAATTTACTCTCACTCCCCCTGCTTACCTCCCCTCCCCCCCCATGCCAGAGTTCATGCACTGGGGAACTAGGAAGCTGAAAATGTTGGGTACCTATAAGACCTCTTTTCTGGTGGCTGAGCTGCAGCTGCAGGGACCACAGGAGCCTGTTGGGTTCCCCTTGGTTTCCCGCAGGAGTTGGTCTGCAAGGCATCGTTTGGCATCGCTGGGCAGCCCAGAGGCCCACGCTGCACCCCAGCCTGGGTGTCCAGCCACGCTCAGTGCATCTTTATGTGGGGATTCGGGCGCCGTGACTCAGGCAGAGGAGGTGCATGGGGACCCTGGGCCCAGGTGCTGCCCAGAGCCCAGAGGTCAGCTGGGACCTGCCCTTTCACATCAGATGCCTGTGCTTCCATCACCAGCCAGGCCTAGGGACCACACCTGTGCAGGAATGTCTTGCACCAGGCCTCTAGCATCATAAAACAATATAAATTTATCTTACAGTTTCTTTAGATCAGAGTTCTAGGTAGGTTCAGCTGAGTCTTCTGCTTAGGGTCTTATAGGGCTGAAATCCAGATGTTGGCACAGTTGCATTTCTTCCTGGAGGCTCTGGGGTAGAATTTGCTCTTAAGCTCACTTGGGTTGTTGATGAAGTTCAGTTCCATGCAGTTGTCATACTGAAGTGTCCTCATTCCTTGCTGTTTGTTAGGGGTCAGTCTTTGTTCCTAGTGGCTGCCTGCATTCCTCATGCCTTTATGTAGCTCCCTCCAGCAAGGGCGGGTTCTTTAGCCAAAGAAAATTCTCTACCAAGGACTCACATAGATGGGGCCCTCTGGGATAAATCAGGATGATATCCCTATTTTTGAAGTCTGTAACCTTAATTACATCTGGAAAAGCCCCTTCTGCCATATAATGTAGCGTATTCACAGATTCCTGGGACTAGACATGGATGTCTTTGGGGAATCCTTCTGTTTACCACTGCTGGCATGAGCAGCTTCAAAGGTTGTCTTCCTAACCTCAGTTCTCAGATGTGTTCTCTACAGGGTTCACTTTGAAAGTTGTGATTCTTGGTGCCTTAATTTATCGTGTTCACAGGGTTAAGAATAAGAATTTGGGTTAGGATACTTGACATATTGTCAGTTGTAATTTTCTTTGGTGTTTATGCTGTTGTTTAAAAGTTGCCCATCTGCCGAAACCAGTTTGGCTCAGTGGATGGAGCGTTGGTCTGCAGACTGAAGGGTCCCAGGTTCCATTCTGGTCCAAGGGCATGTGCATCGGTTGTGGGTACGTCCCCCGTGGGGAGTGTGCAGGAGGCAGCTGACCGATGATTCTCTTTCATCGATGTTTCTAACTCTCTATCCCTCTCTCTCTTCCTCTCTGTAAAAAATCAATAAAAAAAAGAAAAAGTTGGCCATCTTGGGAAATGTTTTAAACCCAAGTAATTTATAGTTGAGCGAGGGAATAAAGAAAACATAATGAAGAACCGAGAAGTTCCGATGGAAGGGAAAGCATCTGATAACTAGTTCGCTGTCTCTGCCTAGCTCTTGAGCATCTAACAAGTGAACAGTGCTGCCGAGTGCGGGCTAAATAGTCTCCCAGCTCCCATTGAGAAAAGCCCCAGGGCCCCTGATGGCAACCAGGAAGTGCTTGTTGAAACACCAATTTCAGAGTCCTGACCCTTGGCTTTCTCCTTCCTCTCGACTAGGAGTGAGTGACCTGAGGGATGAAAGTCCTCAGTCATCCAGCTGCTCAGGAGGCCGGGGCTTTCTCAACAGCAACAACAACAGCACCTGCCACGTAATGGCCGTGCTGTGCCAAGCCCCGCTGCAGGAACTGACATGTCAGCTCCGTGATTCTTCTTGCTTGCCCTTCCAGTGGGACGTACTTAGTACTCTCGTTTTTAAGATGAGGAAACAGGCGTAGAAGAGAGGCCCCTGCTGCGTAGGCAAGTTATACTCTGCGTGTTATAGATGAATGCTCGCGGAACTGTAGCAGGACAGGAGAGGCCAACTGCTTTTTAATCTTTGAAAGAGATGTCCCGCCTTTTTGGGGTAGAGCGGCAATGGCAGCTGGAAGTGAACCTGAGCCCAGGGCATTGGAAGAGACGGCCAGAGAAACCTGCTGCAGGTGGGCATCCTGTTGGCAATTTTAGCAACTCCCCCTTGGGTTGGTCGTTGGACTTCCAATAGTGACTGGCCCTTCTGTAACTGGTTGGCACAGCGCTGTTGGAGCACAGCAAGCCCCTACGGATGTCTGGCCTCTGCAGAGGCTGCGGCCAGTCCCAAACCCCACCAGCTCCCTTTTGTAGGTGACCCAACCCCCCTACCACAGCTGCAGCCCTTACATCTATTTCTGACCAGAGTCTTTCAACCGTTCCTGCCATTCCTGATGAGGTGGCTGTGGCTAGTCCAGGACCCATGTTCTGTGGCGGGAAGGACTTTATTATCTGTCACAAAGGACCATTCCTCTGGGCAATAATATTGGTCACATACCCAGAGGGTACATTTTAAAAGGAATTCCAATGACTTTAAAAATTCAAATTGGAGCCGAAACCGGTTTGGCTCAAAGGACAGAGCATTGGCCTGCGGACTCAAGGGTCCCAGGTTCGATTCTGGTCAAGGGCATGTACCTTGGTTGCAGGCACGTTCCCAGTATCGGGTGTGCAAGAGGCAGCTGATCAATGTTTCTCTCTCATCGATGTTTCTAACTCTCTATCTCTCTCCCTTCCTCTCTGTACAAAATCAATAAAATACATTTTTAAAAAATTCAAATTGGAAAATTCAAAATCCTAAAACCAAGTAGTATGGTTAAAGACTCCATGCCCAGGTACCCACCACTCAGCTTCAAA